TATAGTTTATTTATAATAATAAAATAATACATTTTAATCAAATTGCATAATGCCAGAATACTTTAACAAAACCATAAATTTTTGTTGAAAGACTCTTTGAACAGAGAAATTTCCCAGCATCTCCAGGGATGATTCAGCAGCATAAAAGCTTCAGAAACAATAATATTTTATTGATTTTGTTTTGAACAAATGATTTTACAGATCTGGTGGCAGCTAGAGAAAGGCTCTGTAGTCTCATACGAGTCTCATAATTATTGAGTGTACTCCTGGCCACAAATGACATTTCTTTCCAATGTTCGCTCTTTTTCTTCTTCTTGTCTTCTCATTTATTTATATTTGTTATTGTCAGTACAGTTGCTATGTCTGGCTTTACTGAAATTGATTTTTCCTAGCTACAGGCTGTAGAGTGTCCCAGTGGTTTTTATTATAAGGCAGTTAATATGACCTATCGCAAGAAAGAATTAGGCTGATTTTGTAAATCATAATTTTTCCTGCACAGCAGGGTCAGTAAAGCATAAAAACCTGAGTAGCCTGGGCTTCATTCTCCACCAGCCCGAATTATGAGCACAGATTTCACACATGGGTAGCCTTTTCCACTTTCTTTAAGTGAGGGTATAAAGCATTAGGAAAAAGATAATCTTTCTTGAGATCTTCCATGGGAAATAAAAAAGTAGGCTGGGCTCATCACATTATAATTAAGAGGTTAACCCACGAAATAATAAAAGCCCGCTAGCTTTTAGTGCCAAACAGTGTTGAAGTACAGAGCATTGCAGCGGGCGTGACTGTCAGGGCCCTGAGAGCGTCCTCGCTCCTGGTGGGGGCTCAGGCCCAGTCAGCGGCCCCACAGCCGGGGTGCTCCCCTTCCCCGCGCTGGCCTGGGCAGAGGCTCCCAGGCAGCACTGTGGGGAGGCCATGGCCATGGCCAGGGCCAACCTGACCCTGCTCCCGCAGGACTTGCTTTAAGCTGAGGCTGTAGATACAGCTCCAGCTGCTTCGCAGCTGTGCCTCTGCCTGGCCATAGACCCTGTTGATGCAGACCCAGATTCAGACCTGCAGCCTGTCTTCCTGGCCTGACTGCAGACCTGCCTCGTCACTGTGGACTTGCTTGGAGACCACCAGGCTGTGTCTGACTCTGGATACCGTAACCGGGATCCTGACCTGGACTGGCTAACTCATGTTCCTGGCTCGACCTCAGACCTGCCTCTCACGTGAAGAACTTATGCAATGATCTGGCCTCACTACCACCCCTGGGTCTGCCCTGCTTGCCTCACTCAGGTACCACGGGACAGACCCCTGCCCTACCAGCCTGGTTATCATGATTGGCTCCGTCTCACTATCCCCTGGGGAGCAACAAGCCTGCACGGTGCCCTGACAGACCTCTGCTGCTGAGGATGTTTTTTTCTCATGCCTTTGGGCTGTCTTAACCCTGCAAGTTCTTTTACCCTCTGCAGTTACCTTTCCTTCATGGTCTTACTGATGGGAGGAATTTGAGAATTAAAAGCCAAATTCTTTTGTTGGAAAATACCCCAGTTAAATTTCTTTTTCAAATCTATTCTTGTGCTTTATTAAAACTGAGAACTCCAAAGGTGAAGGCTGTAAAAGCAATTTATTTGTTTAAAGATGTTATGCAAATTGAAAGACCAGGTTGGTGTTGTGGCCATTATTTTGTTGCAGGTAGCTGAGGTGATCAGATGCTGGCTAGACTTTGGTAGGCTTTTTGGGCAGCAAAGGCTGGAGGATGGAATCTGTCTTCTTTGCTTCTCCTGGGCATGAGTCTGATAGAGAAAGTTCTTCAGGGAAAGGGAGAATAACTGGTCCAGTGACTGGTTTGGTCAAGTCTGGTTTGTCTGCTTGAGTTTTTGCTCCATCAAGACTGGGCATAGATCCTACCATCTCAGGTGGAACTGTCTTTCCATCTTTATGTTCATTTTGACTTTCTAATGGGTTTTGGAAAGAGATGTCCTCAGTTGAAGGGGGCAGAATTTTAACCCAGCCCACTGTTTTTTCTAGGTGTGGGGAGAAACGATTGGTTTCTGAAGGGAAAGCTTGTTGATCATTCTGGTTGGATTTCCCAGGTGTCTTATTAGGTTGCTGTTTCTCCTCTTCAGTGGCAGGATCCTAGATAACAGGCAATAAGCATTACCTAAATTGAAGCTATTCCAAATTCTTTCAGATACAGAGAAGGTCACCCTTCACACTAAGGATCTGCTGCAATTCCAGTTGCAAAAACCAGCTGCAGAACAGAAGCTCAGAGAATAAGACAGATGGAACTACTTATTATGCCAGTGGAGTTGGGTGCGTGAAACTTGGGTAACTACACAGTTATTGCTCTTTGCATTCCCTTTGTAATTTACAATTTCTTTGTAGAGCATTCTGAACATATTCAGTATGATTGACTCTATACTTATTCTACTGCCTTTTTATCCACCTAGCAACAGTCTGTTTTATCATAAGAGAGATTTCTTCCTGATTTGGCCTTATCACTTCCTTGAAACCCAAATCTTTGTGAATAAGAAAACTTAAAAATGGCTGGGCTTTCAAGAGTTCAATTTTTGTTTTGTAAGGGAGTATTACTCTTGCAATTAGATTAAGATTAGATTAGATAAAGAAATACCTGCAGACCGTAGAGTTCACAGGATATTGTGATAAATTGTTTAAGTTCCACGTGGCTGGTTACTACAGAGCCTTTGCAGAAACCTATTCGCTGGAAGAAGAAAATGCAGGATTTTTTTCACATTGTAGCACTGATACTTAGGTCCTGTCTTGTAAAATGATTATGAAAGGCTGAATAGCTATAGCTTCTACATGTATTTGTAGGGATAAGCAGCTTGGGCAAACTTTTATTTTGCGATTGGCAAGCTTACAAAGGCAGGCAGCATTTTGAAAATGTTTTATGTTTGCAAAGGAGGGTTAGGTAACATGATAGTAAAAATAAGCTGGCCACTTAAGGCCCAACTACAACAGCATACTTAAGTTCTGCTGCAGCAGAATATTCCCATGCAGGCAAATTGTGTAATAGAACATTATATCATTTTTCAGGCAAAACCAATTTCACACCACACTGGTGAAAGAAACCATGAAAAAATGTTTTTTCTAATAGTTGTGTTTTTACTGGGCTGTATGTAACATGGCTTGGATCTCAGTTAAGATGGGGCTTGAAATGTTATCTCTTGGCAGCATGCCCATTTACTCTTTCAGTTTCTCTTACAATTTTTTCCTTAGTTCCTAAATGTTTTCCTTAGCTGACCTGATTGTAGTATGAATATAATCTTTATGCATTGTTTGTGATTTATTGTCTATGTCTGTTTACTTGGAAGAAATCCTTAAGAATGATTCAGTTTTGTAAGGTGATGGCTACCCCACCTTTTTCTGGATGGTCTTTTTTTCTGTTTTCTTTGTTCACAGACTTCTGGGTAAGAAATCAGAACTTTTACTGAAGTGGTTTCTCTATTTGAAAGCAGTTTGTACAGTTGCAAGACCGTATAGAGCTACAACCCATAAAAATATGCCTGTGGGCTTTGATTCTTGTCTGCAAAGGACCAAAGGGATAGGCTAAGTATTCACTGAGGAATCATAGTATCTGAAAAACAGGTGTTTATACAAGGGAAAGTACTTACAGCTAGTTCCAGTGGAAGTGGCTTGCACTTGGAGATGTCAGCAATCGTGTCATTTTTGGAGCAGGATGTCTCCTGAATTAAAAACTCTACAAAATGTGCAGGACCAACAACCCACTGTTAATGAGACACCAGTGGCAATTAGACTTTGAGCATGTGTCAGGAAGAAGAAAGAATCCTACAGACCTTGAAATAGATGTAAAATTCCTGCTAAGAGTGGAAAGAGCTCGTTATACTTGGGGCATTGCTGTTAGTTGTCTTACAGGAGAATGATTTTTTTGCAAGTGCTGCTTTATTACCTGGTTATTTTTTCCTTCTTATATATGCACAGTCTTAGTTACTCATGGATTAGCTATAGCTGAAATGAGTTTGGGTTTTGTAATGAGTTAGCATCCACATAGAACTACGTATCCAAAGACCCTCTTCAGTGCCTTGTTGATCATTTCTGGCTGCTTAATGAACAGGATCACTTTTTCTGTTTCTGAAATGCGAGTTCTGTAGGGTTGGAAAATGGGAGCGATTAAATACTGTATTGTAGTAATATCTAACATTTTGAGAGAAAGAGTAAAAACGACCTTGTTCTCTTTACATAATGAATTTTAGAGAGACCAGATATGACTGTGGTAAACCAACAGGATTTAGCCAGGAGATCATTAACTCTGTTAGTCTAAAGTTAGTTTTAAACCGTGTTTAAACTCATTCAGTGAATTAAAGGTATCTGTCAGAAGAGACGACTGTGCTTTATTAAATACTTTCTATTAGGGAGAAATGGTGGTGGTAGAAGAAAGAGCTTACAGTGAAGCTTTCCTAAACTTTGGAAGGCAAATCTGTGTCTTCAGTTTTGCGTAAAGCCCTTCTTTTTGCAATAAATGGAGTCAAAGTCTTGGATCAATGCAGATTCTAATTTCCCAGGAGAATTCTGCATAGAAGTATTCTCTATACTATACAGATATAAATTCTAAACAATCTGTAAGACATAACAAATCATATAAAGTATAACTGGTGGATCCATACTTCTTAAGAACTAAAGCACGTCATATGAGCCTTGGCTTACCTGCATTGAAGCTCTTGTGACATTGAGGACAGAGAAATAATGAGGTTGTTCGCTCTTTTCATTGAACTTGGCAAGGCTTTGAACAGCAGCCTCCAAATATTTGGGCTCAGTTGGACAGTCATCAACTGGGCAGTCAGGACATACTGACCAAATGTATCTGGGTGGAACTTTTTATTCAAACAAAAGAATGTCATTAGAGAAAGCATAACCATAAGACCCTGTGGATAGCATAGGTCACTGTAATTGCATCTATGCCCCAAATCCTACCCACTTGTCCTTCATTCCCCTGGAGTAACAATATGTGGTTTGATTCACCCAATGATTTTGAATCTTTATGAATTTGCAGACCCATAAAAATGTTGCACTGGAGGCAGAGACATTGCAGAAAAAAGCTCAACCTACTGACAATGACCTTCCCGGTTTTACTTGCCTTTCACAAACCCATAAAAAAGCTTTTGGGACCAGAGGGTAAAAGGCCATATAAAGGCTCTTCTGGGTTTCCCAGAGATGAAAACAGTTATTACTGCACTGCTTTGAGCTGCAGGACCACACTGGCCTTATGATCACTGACTTGAGAAAATTAGCACAGCTGAAAGCTAATGGAGATGCTGTGGTACCATAATTACAATTAAAATTTAAAGTAATGCTATATGGCAGAGTGTTTTTCCAGTCCACTTTTAAATTAAGTGTGTTAAATAAAGACATACCTGGTTGTAAAATGCACTCATAAGTGTTCAGATGAGCAATATTTCTTGCCTGATTAATGTAGATAATTGCTTTGCATTGACCATAAACCTAAAACAATATAAACATTTAGAAACGATTAATATTTCACCCTTTGCACTGATCATCTAGTACCTACACAGCAAGTGGTTCATTTTCTCCTTGTAGTCATGAAATTCTTTTCAAGAAAAAAGTTGTGTCAGTACTCAAATGGCAACAAAGCACATTTCTAAGTATCTCCTTTAGAATTATGGGCCAGACATTCCCCTGGTATAATTCTGAGCTACACAGGTACAGTACTTGTCTGCAGGGTGGCCTACACGAGGCCACTCTTCTGGCACCTAAGAAGTGCCCAAGCATCAGAGTGCTTTCCCTGGCCAGGCCCCTGTACAGACCTGGGTCTGTGTTGGGAACCTGGAGAGCTTAAACCTGGAGATCAGCTCAGAGTGTCTGGATCCAGTCACCTGTCTTCTACCTTCCCCTTCTTCCTATGTCCATAGTCAGGAAGGAGAGTGGTATCAAAGACCCTAAATCAGTTTTGTGGCACAGTAGGATCACCCTTGCACACCAAGAAACTCTGAATTTATGGCAGAAAAAAATACCAGCCTATTAATATCCATTGTGCCTTTATGTTTAAAAGTTGAATGTATATTCTCTGAGTGCTTCTTAAATATTGCCACTTGTATGATCACAGCCTCTAGGACATACATTTCTTGGCTTCACAGAAGCCGTATC